GGGACGAATAGATCCGAGTGGAACGCGCGATAATTCGCTGAAGAACACTCTTTCTCTCTCTTTCTCGGCGCACAGAAGGCGATCCGCGCGAAAATGAGACTTCGTCTCAACTTCGTTCGAGAGATATTGAATATGACGGCTCCAAGGTCGACCGGAGAAGTTCCGATCGTACCCTTTATTAGGATACGTCCGGAAGCCGCGTTGATCCACCATTATCGCCCCCTGCGCGGAATACGAAATGAAAGTGCTCTCCTCGTCTCTCGCCGGCGGCGGTGCTCTCGCCGTTTATTTGTAACTCCATTACTAAAACGACGATCGGGGATTTTCAGAACGAGAGGATCGCGCGCGCACGCGACGACGGTATCTCCGAGGACATGAATTGCTACGCGACTTCTATGAACGCAGTTCGGTGATTAAGTTAGTAACTTTGCTTTCAGCCCCCCGTGACTTTTGTTCAACTGTCGATATTAAAAGCTCCCGACATTTCGCCCGGGAAGGTATATACTTAATTCTTTTAATTGATCTCCTCTCTCTCTCTCTCTCTCTCTCTCTCATTCTGTCGCTCTCGTTCGCTTTTGAGCGAGTCGATGAAATTGCGTTTTAAAATGCGCACAAGCGCAGAAGATAAATGGGCGAGATTTTAAGTTTATAAAATACCCTCCGGCGGGCAAAAAAGGTCATATGTGAGAAATTTCCTCGCTCTCCCGCGCTACCAGCGGCTCTATAAATTTACACAGGCTATTCTTTCTCTCTCTCTCTCTCTCACTCTTTTTCTCTCTCTTGCCAACGCAATAGGAAAAGTTCGCGTATCACCACGTATCTCACGATTACGTTAAATTACACCGTTATTACGAAAGATTAAAAATAGAAAGGCCGACCGTTGTACCTCGGGGGAAAAAGTACATTTCGACTGTGGCGGTACCTTTAAGTCGCGTTACGTCACTTCGAAACGAGCAGGGAGAAACGAGAGAGAGAGAGAGAGAGAGAGGGGAGGGATACCATGCGGTGGTAGGCGTGTGTTTAATATCCCGATGCACGTCTCGTTTGGTTGCTTAATTGAAGAGCAACATTCCGCGCTGGTACGCTCCAATTACCGCATCGGCTGCGAAACAACACGAGCCGTGTTTTCTCGCTCGAGCTTACTACGTAATCTGCTGAATCTGGTCGATCGCGGATGATATCATCACGGAAGCGAACTTCCGCGCTCGAGACGCCTCCCTCCTCCCCTCCCCCCCTCTTTCCACCCCTTTCGATTAACGTAAGACCGCTGAATAAAGCGCGAACGATTGATGAAGTGGAACGCATAGCCGGTGGGATTCTCGCCTACGAAGAGACCCCCGCCGCCTCTTTCAGAAGACACAACGCACGTAATTTCGTATAACGAGCCGGCAAATTATATCCGCGAGCGCGGTTAGATATCGGGCGGTAGTTGCGGGTATTTTTAGCGTCGTCTGGTGCAGCTCCCCCGAACTGGTCTTCTGGAAAATGTTTACAGCGCGGCAGCATAGCGTGATTAATAAGGGAACGCTGGGCGGTCTGTCCCTTCGCTGATTTTCAGCTTCGAGCTTCGGATATGTCGCAGAACGGCTCGAAATAATAGGCGCTTTTTATACACACCAGATCGTATCCCGCCTGGATCGTATTATTTTTGTAACGGCAAATTTCCCTCCGGCCGATCCGAAGCGCGGAGTTTTTCTCTCGTTATAGCCGGTCGTGGCGGCGCAATCGTCGACTTTCCGGTAGAAAGGCGATGAAGAGGGAGAGCAAGGCTTTCCGAAATGAACTTCGATGAACGAATACCGGACGAATTTGATAATTCTACGGCTTCGGACGCGAAGTCTTATGAAAGAATGATGACCTCGGCGGGATGAAACTCTCGCGCAGAAATGTATCCGCGGCGTATGTTTGCAGATAGCAGCGTGCTATCTGGAAGCCTGATACCGCCGACATCCGTATCAGACTAGGTCAAATTGGATCCGGAATGAGTTCACGGGCCGAGTTTCCCGGCAGACTCCCCGGCACTAGTTCGAATTCGAAACTTTTTCCACGCTGGGCTGGCTCAAACTGATTCCGCCTTGTTTCGACGGGGCGGACTTTCGCTCCGCGTGTTCGATAGGAAAAACTAATCGTCCTCGAGCGCAGCCGACCGCCACGCCGAGCATAAAGTCGATTTCGTTTGATAAAAAAGAGAGAAAAAAGAGAGAAAAGAGAGAACAGCCATACCTTCTCCGAGCGGTGGACAGTATCGGTGGTGGGACGAAAAGCGCGGCCTACGTGCCAATAGACGTCTTTATCGTTCTTCGGCTCGCTCCAACCAGGCCACGGCTTTCACCGGGGGTGTACTTGCAGTTCTCGCGCTGCGGCTGTTCAACGTCGAACTTCCGTCACGCTGTAACTTAACTTAAACGGCCGACCGTTTACCCGCAAATATTTGAGGAAGCCTGACAAAGTCGTCGTATCCACTTTCGCGG